GAGAACCGACTGTAAAGTCATCAGAAACACGGAAGTGATATGTACTTTTGGAAGACCAAAAATTTTCTTATTCGGAAAGCTGCTCTTGCGCATAAAACGAAGTTTTTTTATCAGTGTGTGTTTCCAATGCTAACGAATGGATACCAACTGCACCCAGAGAAAAGACTAATAAAAATTGGAAGCCACGCAGTGCAACATGAAAAGTTGTACGTTGTGATATACAAAAAGGTAGGGAAAGACAAATAATGCGAACTATAGTAAGCGTTTGCTACGTTATTTCCTAGGGGAAAATATTAAGTGGTAGTGCACAGGACACCCTAAGCAAACGATTAGTACTAAATTAAACCAGCAGGAGGAGCTAAAGAAGGTCGCTGGATCAAGATCGGTATAAATCTCAGAAATCAAAAGCTAGTGGCAATGTCTTGGACGAATTCTCATCCAGCAGAAAATCGAAAATCGCCGGATTTTAAAATCGTGGCTTATTGTGGCCGATGCTAGCTATTAGGAAGGAACACAAATTGTGAAAAAAGTTTATTGGCGGTGGACGTTTCTATCTATCTGAACAGAATTTTTCAAGGAAAACAATGGTCGTAAGATGTTGAACCACGTCAGAAAATGCTATAAATGCAGTGCTGCAAATTAAACGTAAATGTAATACAGAAAGAGTGGTAAATCTATGGAACATATATAAATTTCATATACAATGTTGCAGATTCACAAAGTGGTATTTTTTTTCAGAAACCATCACAGGGTCAACATTACAGATGCAAAGGTATTTCACTATGAAAAAGGAGTTCCCCTAAATTTGCACGTAAGTGTCATTGAATTGAACACATCAACATTAGTACATTGGGTGGATCGTTGACAGATCATTGACTTTTTATAATTGTTTCCCAACTTGTATTAGCGTAATTTAGCGGTCTTCGAAACGCTGTTGAAAAGTATTTGCATGTTTCTCGAAATGAAACTCGTTCCTAAATGTCACATTGGTGATATCTGTTCACTCTAGATTGGCCTCAGGTTTTATATAAGATTGGCGTTAAACGAAATTAAATAAGGAATGAAAGAAAAACGGAATGAATAAATATAAACGGAAAATATAGCCACAATAGTTGCGAAACATTCCATAGCAAGGATGCATTCCATGGACGGTGGGCAGTTTATAGCTTTAGATCGGATCGCCAACTGAACCGGCTTTTCGGCAAGAGAAGTAGTTTCCATAAAAGCCTGTGAAGCTAAAGTTTCCATAAAGCTTGTGGAACTAGTGCTAAAAAGATTAAATCAGCTATCAAAGCTTCTGACTATGCTAATGCCTCAACAAATTAACTGATATATGGCTGCCTACTCTGCTTCACATTTCTTTCCGTTTTTCTTCCAACCTTGTAAAACATTTTATGTGCATCCCAAGTCCACCGTTGTCTGCCTTATATCCGGAAGAGAAAGGAAAAAGATTTATGACCATGACAGTTCTCCCGTGAAATGTAGCTATACTTACACCTTATGGTGTTCTTTTTATCGAACGTTAGACTGACTTCTTTGTCTCCTTACTAACCAAGGGAGGTGCAAGACGTTTGAAATTTGATGTAGACTGCTAGAAATCAGCCTGCTATTTTTTCTGAATGGATACTGGCCGCATAGCTTCACGGTGACGGCTGACGAAGATCCACAAGAAGAAGACAAATATGCCAGTCAACAACCGAGTCGTTACCCATTCTGAAGAGAGAAAGAAAACAGTGCAATGCTGTTGTAGCACGTGGAATAAAGTTCTACGGAAACGGTACCGATGGAGGGAGCTAGCAGTAAAATACTGAAACTTTTTCACTTGTCAGTTGTAGAGATCATAATAAAGCTGATGACACCCATAGATACAAATTAAGTATAGTTTGACCGTTACTAACGAAGCGCCAGAGCTGCTCTGGAATTCAAATCTCTTTGGAATGAACCTATTCTATCGAAGTGTCGTCTTCATGACACGCGCGTTAGCCGGTACTCCTGTTCTGGTGCAACCTAACTTGACTGACAAAGTCATTGAATAAAATTACGTCAAGATAAGAGTTAAGTGACAGTCATATGAAATAGGCTGCCACTGGCAAAAAATTTGACGCTGTTGCAAACCGCTCAATTCGGAGGAAGAATAGAAAACCTTCCTGAATCAAGCACTTCCATGATGCGAAAATCTGATTCGCAGTCTATCATTCTAATGAACGATTTCAATGCGTATTTAGGAGCCTACACTGAAAGGAGGAGAGAAGTGATTGAAAAGAATGCCACAACAATGACGACATGAAGCTAGTTCAGCTTTGTGCCAACTACCAGCTATCTGTTACGAATACCTCTGAGCAACGAAACGTGCATCATTATACCTAGTAAACGGAAGCCTGTGCACAAAAGCTTATGATAGATATTAGAATGATTTACAACACGTTATCGATGTTCGCGCTAAGACGGGTCAAACTCCCCAAAAATCTTAAGAATGATCTTGATGAAGGTGCTTCATAGGCCTATGTTCCAGAGTCTTCTTATATTCTGCCGACACTCAGTTTTTGGGCATCATGTAAAAGGCTGATGTGCCGCATAGATGAAGTGGAATGAAAGCGAAGCCATAGCCTAAGCGTGCCGTAGGTGTTCTCTTAAAACAGGAATTGTTTATTTTAAATGCAGATTGATGTATCCGAGAACATGATCAACTGCTTTAAAATTCGTAAATACATGATTGACTGATGCTTATTTTTACATTCAAAGTTGTGCATTCTTTGCGCGAAAAGCGAAATCAGCATGCATTTGCCATACAGGTGCTGTTTGCGACGATTTATTACCTGATTATGCTGTTGAATACTGTATGCTGGTTGTGAAATCGTCAGAAAACAGCAATGAAATTGATAAACCTGTATGGAAATATGCGGCTCGATCCGAAATACAGATGTTGTGGATGCTTTCATGTAAAAACAGGAACCATCTGTTTGGGACTGTATAATCTGGTGCGTTTTTTTCCTGTATTAATTGTGATAACATATTTCCTTTTTTAAGCTCTGCATTTAATGTCGGCTAACAATATTCATGGTGTATCGATGTAAAATACTAGGTAAAACTTTGTCAAATGAACTACTTTAAATGGTTGGTGTTGTAAATTTGGTATAATGCCGATGGTTTCGAATGTCTGAAAATTTGTGTTGTCGGTCAAAGCGGGGTCGTTGGATTTTGCGGAAACGTTGTTTTTCTTCGCGGTTAAGCTGAGGGAGTTCGATTGACAATTCGAGAAATCCCAATAATAAGCTGGATAGTTCCAGAAATTGTCTCTAATGTTCTCACATCCTAGACTTTGCTCTAACTCGCTTTTGTTGTTGTTGTCAGCATCATCTAGAGTATCCGGATCAGAACAGAGTTTCCAGATTGATGATGTCTGGCGTTAACTCGTTGCTGCTGCGGAATGCTCTAGCGTATTTAGCATTGTATTCTCAGCTGCATATCGACATGTGATATACATGAAGATGAATAGCATTAGCTGGTTGTCAGTTGATCGAGGGAGGCTCTTGAAAGTTGGGTGCATTTCGTGAACAATGCCGATGCTGATTCAGAGTCTGCATCGAACATCGAATGCGTAGGTGGATCAAGCGGACATAGTGCATACCTTTTTACGATTGCCGAACATCTGCACCCGTTGGTTTGTCCCTGTGTTGTACTTTGAACAATAAATCTTTGCCATATGTACTTTGTCGACTGCCGTAGCGACAGCGGTGTTTTTAATGCTATTTCAATCAACTACGTGTCATTGCGTTGTTGCTACTATATTAATTGAATTATTAATTTGCGTGTTACTCATTAAGGCTTAATGATCGTGTAAAGTGTAGTCATTTAAAGCTGTCACATCGAGCAGGACGATTATCAGCTGATTGATGACCACAGCTGTTTACAGATCGTCAGCATACAGTCTGTTTCTCAGGTGTTATGCTTGATCGAAACGCTGTGTTTAAGAGAGAAGAGAATGACCTTAGTCATTTAAATTAGTGCTTAACAAAAACAGAAATTGTGTTGCTGTTAGAAGACTGGAAGATTTTTTAATAAAATTGCTAGATCAAATCTCTGACTCTGCATTTTTTTAGTTGACAGTACTATCTTTCTGATCCGAACATCTGATTTAGATCGAATTAGAATATTCAGTCTGTTGCAGCAGCGAGCGATATTTAAAATGCAAAACTGATTCTTTTGTTTTAACGGTACAGACATCACCATGGTAGACGATGCTGTTTAAATACTATTAACCACTGGTTTAAGATGTAAGATTTTGCTGTTTGAACTACATCACCGATGAACACCATTTTTCACCATAAGGAAAATAATATGTCATAGATCACATAGAAAAATGACAGGATATGACGGAGAGAAATAAAAAATTAAGCGACATTTTGGGTGATATCACAGGACGGTAATTTGACAAGAAACCGGCAGACGTACATGATGAATCTATGGCAATACAAAAAAAAACATGGCTATGCTTCGTTTAGCATAGTCATGTAGAGCTGTTTATGGAATAGGGAGTACTGAGAATTCGTGCTGAGGACGAAATGAACAACCTGCAATAAGATACGCGGTCATCGCCGAAATCTTTATCAAATTTGAATGTATTGTTACACAAGCAGCTTGAAAGGCTGCTGTTGAGTGTATGTGGATGACGGGAACAACAGCTAGGTTTATTTTAGAAATGTGCCATATGCGTCGATCGTTTTCATCTGAGCATAGTGCACGTAATTAGAATTTCAGGCTATTTATTTAAGACATACGGTAGAGCAGGTCGCAATTGATTTTTTTTAAATTTTAATAATTTTGCATTAAACCTGAAACGTATTTTCCGTATTCTCATTTTTGACTGCGAAAAAGGAATTTCCCTTAAACTGACTTCATCAAAGCAGGGGATTGACTCCACTTTTATACAACGTATAAGAAGGTTCTCCAATTACCAAGGGGGGCGCGTTAACCACAGTTTTCAGAGTTAATGGAAGTTAATGTCCGTATTCGATTCTGAAGTTAGTCATTGAATGGCAGGGATTGAAACGAGTTTGCAGTGCGCTCCTCGGGGGTCATTTTTTTTCGGTTTCATTTAGTATTTGCGTTACAACCATGAATAGATCTGTTTAACCCCGATCACCACTGTGCCCTTTGCCCTACGATTTCGGTGTTCATGGCAGAGTTTTACGACCTTTGAATGTGATCCATTTCTTTGGCCGTTGCTAACCATGGTGTAAACAATGTTATTGGTTTACGCTAGCAACATCGGCTGTCGAAGAATTTTATTGATCTAAAAATCGATTATTTAAAATTGTCGTCGGTTTGAGTGATTTTCTGTCACGTGTTTTTCTTTCTAGGTACTGCAATTTTTTGCACTATGCGTTTTGATATTGGCCGTGATACATCCGGACGCATTTTTTTACGTCACTAACGAACGACAACTGCACAATGAGACGGAAGTATACTTCAAAGACGGATTTCAATTTAATGCGAAAGAAACGCTACCTGAGCTGCCGACTCCCATCCCGCAGATCAGCGCTGCCAGAGTCGAATATCAGTCATCCGTTTTTCTACCCAGGAATGACCTGGTGCTGGTGACTCAGAGAAATCTCAGGACAGGTAATGCGTATGTACATATTTTCTGCTCTGTAATGACAAGCAGCATAACAAAACTTATTTAATCATTTTTGATAAATACATAAAGCACCATTTCGATAGTACCACCATTAGTGATCCGTTGCTGTGCAAAAATTTGCTTATTAACACAGGCGGGAAAAACCCAGGATGCTTATCCTTTGGCACAGAATGCGGGCGTAATCGACGGAGGCATTTTGCCAATCAGAATGTCTTGGGTTATTGCGTTAATGAGCCAAAGCCGAAATCCTAATGCGTCCTTTCTCCACTCCGTCTTCTTGGAGCAAGGGTGACATCAGCGGTTACGTTACTTCATTACGAGGAACTGTTTATGAACCAGAGGTCGCCATTGGCTTCCATGGAGGAGAGTTCATTTGCCCACCGGTTGAACAGCCGCGGCCGCTTCCCATTCGTTGTTAGTTATAACCATCAGTCAGGATTTTAAAGTAATCCGCTAGAACCTCCTTGGCTTACCATTTCGGGGTTCGCGATGATTCCTCATGGCTCTCATAGCGGCTTCGGAATGTTCACACCGACAAGTACGAGAGGATGGTTTTTAGGGTGCAGGCAATCGTAGAACTTACAAAGATAAGGAAATAGCATTGTGAAAGTTTATAACAAGGTGATTTGCCTTTTCACAGAGGTTCTGAAGTTCTCAGAAACTTTTATCAGTATTCCTGCATATGCATGTATGCAACTGTCATAAGCGATGTAATAAATGAGAACAGCACTATCTGTAATAATACCCTGATACAGCTCAGAATACTCTAGAATTATTTTTTGTTTTACTGTCATTTCCAAGCTTTTAGTTTGTACGTTCGTACCATTTTTGCAGTATGTCAGCTAATAATCATTGTTATCAGCAATGGCTTGTATCATGAGGTACAAAACGTAATTCAGACAAGTGACGAATGTTTCATTCCTCTCTGCCTGTGGTTAGTCGATTTTGAGAAGGCTTTCTGCCCAGTGTTCATCCCTTCTGTACTGGATATCTTCAGGAGCCACGGAATTAAGAAAAGATGAACCTGATTTGCAGGATTATGCCTGTAAGTTTCAAGCTTCGAGATCACATCTCTGACAGCGAGAGGCAGTATCACCAGAGTTATTTACAGCAGCCCTAGAAAAAGTTTGCTATACAGTCTGTTTGAAATATCAGGCGCTGGACATAAATGGCGGACTACTTATGACACCTGTGGTTTGAGGCCGACATTTTGATGCTTTTAATTTCATTCTAAGAACTGCAAGAGAAAAAATCAGGACGTACTCTCAAGGTAGGACTGAAAATGAACCAGAAGAAGACTCAGGTCATGTTAAATAAACACATTAGAGCGTAACTTGTTGAAGCCATTGGGCGGCTAATTTTAGACGACGTTTTGCTACGACCTTAAGGTGATCAGATCCACTGCAAGTGCTACGTCATATGAGTCTCGACTAAGGAGCTGCGCTATTTGCTGCTGATAAGAACCTGATTTACTTGTATATGTAGGCTTCAATCGTTGCACGTCCAGGTGATTTGATCAATACGCTTATGAAGAAAGAGTCCACCGATGATTTAGATGTTTGACGCGTTACACCCCTGCTATCCTATTTGCGCTGTGAATACCGTAACGTCCATGTGCTATACTCAGCATCTACATGGATGTTGAGATCGCTGTTGATAAATGTGACAAGAAGGTATAAAGTGCTAACAGGTGACTGCAAGCAGTGATGCAAAGCGTGTCTGTCGCTCTCACTTCACACATTTTTCGGGACATGGGCGACGATGCCTGTTCGGTACTCTATTTGACATTCGTCAGGCTAGGATTCTCTCTGACACTTGTTCCACTGAACTAACTGTCTGCCTCATGGCTTACTCTATTGAGCAAGAACATATTCACATCGGCATGGCGTAATCTCCTGTGGCCTGACAACTGAACTGGCCACCCATTCTGCAGGTCAAGTGTCCAGTTCCTCGGGAAGCGAACTTCCGTGACCATCAGTACATCGAGTTTGTAGCAACGGGACATCGTCTAACTTACCGTTACCATACAAGGAACTAATTTTCGAACGTGAAACATGGAACTTATATCTGACAGTATTGAACATCTAACAGTGTTAAGAGCCGGGTGGGCGGCGATTTTTTTCCTCGCTGGTCTTTTGCCATCTAAATAAAAATTTTCGATACTCGACCCCCGTTGTTTCTCCTATAATAAATGGCTACTACCTCCTGCTTCTGTCGAATTTGGCCAGTTTTTTTCTGATGAAAATGGATCATTTGGTTTGCATTTTTTACAATATAGCGCTCATCTAGCGTCCATAGGTATATGCATTCGTCTGATTTCGACCCAAGTTTTCCTGGTTGACAAGTCCGTTACGTTATGAAACTTTGATCCCTGTGGCAGCCCGTTTCGCTTGCAACAATTTCCTAATCTGGTAATTTAGTTGATTCTCTACACTTAACCTAAGAATTTTTTTTGTTTTATGATTGTGATAATTTGATAGGAATTTTAATTTATTGAAAGTTGTATTTCTTTGATATTCATGCACCGATTTCATGCTCAGCGAGAAGCATGAAATATTTTCGTAAGTGGCAGATTGTTTGTAACTCAAGTAATAGTAAAATTATTTAACACAGTAGACTCCGTCGTTTTCGCCATGTAAAAAGGAAGACGTAGTATTTTTGTAGATGGTACGGTCCAGAACGATCCAGACATTTATAATATCAAAATGGTCAGAAAATAATGGCAGT